GCCCTCACAATGGCTTCTGTCCGCAGAACGGTGATATGTCAGGCTCTCGACTTCGTCTGGCCCTCGACCCCGCCTTCTACCCGCGACCCGCCCGCGACCCACCCCGCGACCCACCATCGACCCGTCCCGCGACCCATCCGCGACCCACACACGGCCCACCCGCGACCCGCCCGCGACCCGCCCGCGACCCACCCCGCGATCCACCCGCGACCCACCCGCGACCCACCCGCGACCGATCCATTGGTTTGAAGGAAAATCGGCGCTCGCGGCGGGCTCGTTCTATAATTTGTGAAACTTTGGTGCCTGCGGCTGGCTTCTCCAGAGTCTCGCAGACTTCCGACGTCCCCACCGCCCCCCTCACTCTTATCCGCGTCTGCGGGGTGCTACGCATCAATCATTTCGCCGACGCCAACGACGCAACAACAGTTTCGCAGGGAAGCCACTCCCATTGACATCTCCCTCAATATGTTTCGCTGCCGCAGCCGCCCATTAATGTCGTCGACTAAAAACTGAAAGATGGCACTATCTCGAAAGCGCACTCGGTTTGGAGAGCGCTCATGTTTGGCTTAGAGGCTTCGAAGCGCGAAGCACATCAACGTTTGGCTCGGCAGGAGTCGGCTCCGCTGGCGGGAGCAACAAAAACGTCGTCAACCTCGCCGCCATCACGCTTATCCTCCTCCTCCTCTTCCTCCTCCTCCTCCTCCTCCTCCCCCTCCTCCTCGCTCGCCCTCTTCGGCCTCCTCCTGCCTCTGGAGACTTGGCGGGCCCCCTTGGCACGCGAGCTGATCTGGCGGTTGGCGCGCGAGGATTTCGGCCGATGATTGGAGCTTGCGTGCGCCACTGGTGACCTAGCGCGCGTCGACAGAGGAGCAGCGAAATGCCCCCCAGGTATTCAGTGTGTTTTGAAGCTGAGAAGGGGGGAGCGCGAGCCCACATATGCCCCAGGCCCCCAAAAGGCCTCAACGATATCCCCAGGAAGCCTCAAGAGGCCCTCCGAAGCCATCAAGAAACCACCAGCAACAAGAGGACCCCACGACTGCCCAAAATGACTCCAAGATGGTCGGAGACGCCTCCACGAAACAACGCAAAATCAAACAGACAACGCGGGAACCAGCATCGTGCGCATCATTTTCATTCTCGAGGTTGCTCCCAAACTTCCAGATTTCAGATTTTCAGTCCTCCAGATCCCAGATGTTCGGGGCCCAAGATTTTGTGGATTTCCCAGCTTCCAGGTTTTTTTCCATAATTTTGCATAATTTCCCAGAATTCTGGAATCTAAGGTTTCTTATTCCCAGCTAAAACCGAATTTCCAGAATCCTGGAAAATTCTGGAAAATTCTGAAATTCTGCCGGCCTCTGCAACACATTCACAAGAAGGAGAAACCTCCAGGGAAAAAAGCCGGCCTCTGGGAAGCATGCATCTTCTCATCCACTTGCTGTAGACGGTTGGGTTCACACCGGCGCTTTTTTAAATGTTTCACCAAGCACGTGCATATGGCGCCGAAACGAGCCAGGGCTTGCCTTGAGGCTCCAGCAGCTGCTCAAGCCCAACTCGATGCAGCTCGAGAGATGTTACAGGACGCCGCCGACAGAAAACGAGCCAACAGCAACCTCCACTACTTCTCGGAGCAGAACGGGAAAAAAACAAACACCGACTATTCCGACATGGCGCCTGCAGACAGGAAGGACTTCTTCGACAAGTGGATTGCACGCAAGTTAGCATCTGGAGATGTCAAGTCTTCGGCTTCGCGAGCCAGCATTGACAGGGCCAGGAGCGGTCGAAATTACGAGCGGGTGAGCCGCGAGACCATGGAGACCAAACTGGAGAAACACAAGGTCGACGCAAACATTAAAGTCGGGGAAACTCGAGACTCGAGCCGACCAAGACACAGGATTGTCCGACGAGTATTCGCTCGAGTACAAGGTGTGGATTGGCGCGGGCAAGGAGGAGACTGGCAGTGACAACGCGCGCTCCCTGGACACCGCCAAGGAGCTGAACGCGGACGAGGCCGAGAAGGAGGCCATGGAGGACATGGACGCGCTGACGCAGACCCCAAACTTGGCGGGGTCATCTTCCTCCCTCTGCCCGGCGCTTTGCTGCTGCCAGCGCACCGCCCGCAGCAGTCGCGGCGGCGGCGGCCTTCCGCGCCGCCGACCAGGGGCCCTCCAAGCGGTTGCCAGAGCGTTGCTGGGCCTGGCGCGCGCGCGGGCTGCGGCCTCGTCCTGCTCCAGCGCCTCCAAGGCGGCCGCCTGTGCGCTTGCCTTGCGCGCGGCGGGCGCTGCCCCGCGGATCCGTCGGCTCGTCGGGCCCCCGGCCGCGGCGGCCGGGCGCCGCGCAGACCAGCCAGGCTGCTGCCCCAGCCTCGCCAGCGACAGCTGGCGCAGACGGAGCGCAGGCCGCCGGCGCGCCGCCCCGGGCAGCGCCGCGCCTGCAGTCCGCGCGTTCTGCCCAGTTCGCGCAGCCGCAACCGCATGGCGCCGCTCCGCCTGGCGAAAAGAAGGGTCTGGCCGTCGCTTCCCGTCGCGCTGGCCGCCCCCCTCGAAGAGGCCCCGCGGCAGGTCCGCAGCCAGCTCGGCACCGCCTGCCCTGTGGCCCCGTCGCCGCTGCACCGTCGGCCGCGCCGCCCCTTCCGCCGGCGCCCGCAGAAAGAATCCAGATGACACAAAAGTGAAGCATAATATATGTCAGCCTTGTATCCCGCTCAGAGCGGTCGGGGGTCGCTACCCCGCGCAGCGAAGCGCCCGGCGCAGCAGCCGCCGCCTGGGAGCAGAGAAGCAGCGGCCTCGGACGCGCAGAGCAGCAGCAATCGCGAGGCCACAATGGATACGAGCAGGGGCGCGCGGACTGGTCGGCCAGTCGCTCGAACCCCCCTCGATCTCACCATCGTCGTCATCATCGCCACCGCCGCCGCCATCATCATTCGAGCGCGAAAGGTTCGCGCCGCGCGCGACGCTGGGCCGCAGGCAGAGATCGTTCAATTACCGAAGTAACCTCTGCCGCGGGGACCCACAGCCAAAACGCCCCGAAACAACCGGGGGGGTTCTCCTCTCTCGTCAGTGGCCGAGCCACGCGGACGACGTGGACAGGGCGGTGGACTGCAGACGAGCATTGACGAGCGCCCTCGCCCATCTCGCGGCGAGCGGCTCGGGGTAATGCTGCGCCGATAGAGCCCACGGAAGCCATCCTGGAGCTCTACCCTTCAAAATTTGATGGGGCATGCCAGTCCTGCTGCAACATGTGCGAGAGCCAGTGCACTGGCGAGCAAAAGCCTCCACATCTACGCTGAACCCCTGGAGGCCCGCGGGTATCTTCCAAGGGGCCCTGTCTTGACAGAAACGAGTGCCAGCCAGAAAAAGCGCGCGCCTGCTTACGGAGTCGCTGGAGGGAAGGGATAAGCCGCAGCCAAGGCACAGCGGGGCTCTCAGTAGCGAAAAGGATCTGCATGGAGGGATCTGCAGGCCGGGCACGCGGAGCAGGGCGGGATCTCGGTCGCAGGGCACTGCGTGACCCAGGCCTGCAGCGCCGGCACACCCCACCGATCCAAGACCTTCAGCAAGCCCTCCGGGATGCCCAGCCAAGCCATGCACCGTGGCCCAGCCGCGGACTGAGCTCGAGAGCCGAAGGCTACGGAATGCAAGCATTCGGCCTCTCCCTCCCCCTTTAGAGGCATTCAACTTCAAGAGAAGACCATCGGCATCACCCACTTCATCATCATCCTCATCCACCTCCTCATCATCATTCCTATTACTGTCCTTCTCCATCATCATACTACAACCGTCATCAACGCCATCATCAACATCACCACCGAAATCATCGCCGTCATCATCCTCATCATCCTCCTCCTCCTCCTCCTCCTCCTCCTCCTCATCATCATCATCATCATCATCATCATCATCACCATCATCATCATCGCAGATCGCTGAAACAGCTGGACTGGCAAGGTAAAGGGAATGCCGCTGACAGCTGGATAATCCTCTTAGTCAGCAGCAGCAGCATCATCACCGACATCGTCAGCGTCAGCGTCGTCGTCGTCATCGTCGCCATCATCATGATCTTAATCAGTATCAGCATCATCACCACCACCACCATCACCTTCAGCATCATCACCACCAACGTCAGCATCTTCATCATCGTCATCATCTTCACCATCACCATCACCAACACCATCAGCATCAGCATCATCATCATCATCATCATCATCATCATCATCATCATCATCATCATAATCACCATCACCACCACCATCATCATCCTCATCATCCTCATCAGCATCACCACCACCACCATCATCATCATCATCCTCATCATCATCATCAGCATCATCATCACCATCACCATCATCATCATCATCATCAGCAGCAGCAGCATCACCAGCATCATCATCATCATCATCATAACCAGCATCACCAGAATCATCACCACTACCATCACCACCATCATCAGCATCATCATCACGACCACCGTCATCATCATCATCATCATCATCATCATCATCATCATCATCATCATCATCATCATCATCATCACCATCGTCACCATGATCAGCATTCACCATAATCACCATCATTACCACCATCATCATCACAGAATCACCATCATCACCACCGTCACCACCATCATCCTCAGCATCAGCATCAGCATCAGCATCAGCATCAGCATCAGCATCAGCATCATCATCATCATCATCATCAGCATCAGCATCAGCATCATCATCATCATCATCATCATCATCATCATCATCATCATCATCATCATCATCATCATCAGTCTGTGGTCTTTCCTTCCTCCTCCCCTCCCTCCCTCCCTCCCTCCTCCTCCTCCTCCTCCTTCTCCTCCTCCTCCTCCTCCCCTCCCTCCTCCTCCCCCTCCTCCTACCTCTCCTCCGCCTCCCCCGTCCCTGCCGCCCTCCCTCCCTCCCTCGCTCCCCCTCCCCCCCAGTCCCCCCGGGGCACGAAGAGCGTCCGCCCCCGGCCCCCGGAAATGCCACAGGCGACCGCAGCGCTGGCTGCTGGTCGGCCGCACGGCGTGGGTGCGGGTGTACCGCGCGCCACGTGCCAGCACGTACATGTCGCCTCCAGGGGCTCACAATCGACGAGGAGATCCACATAGCCATGGTTACCCTCGCGGCCTGGACGCCAGGGCGCGGTCCCGTGCATGCGCGGCCCCACGGGTGCGTGGTCCCATGGGCGCGTCCCGCGCGGGGCACCCGCGCAGGGCCGCCCCGTGCCCACAGGGCCGCGGCCGAGGAACCAGGACCACTGAGCGGTGGATATGCAGATCTCCCTCGCCCGCCACAGGAATCGGCACCCGGACCTCTCCGGGGGTGCGTCTGTGACGAGAGCGCCGAGGCGATCCAGCCACGGCGACGGGGAGGCCTGCTGGAGGCCAAAAGCAGAAAACGAAAAGCGGCCAGAGACCCTGCTCCGCGACGACGACGACGAAGACGACGACGGCCACGGCGACGACGGCGGCGGGCGGGAGGGCGACAGGAGCCGCGGGCGGCGCCGCGCGGCGACGACGATGCAGACGACCAAGACCCATCGGGGGCGTCCAAGATGGGGGGCGCAAATCATGGCTCCAGGCATGTGCGCGGCCCAGGTGGGGAAGCCAGCGAACGAGTTGAAAGAAGAAGAAGAAGAAGAAGAAGAAGCGCCATGAAATCCCGGGAGATGTCATGGCCCTGGTCATGATCTCCCTCTCCGCCCCCCTACAACACTCCGCAAAACGTACAGCAAGTTTTGCCGACCCCCCTCGCCCCCGATTTTAGTGTTTAGTTGCGCCCGCGGCACGGTCCGCGGACCAACGGGCCAGAGGCGTGCTAAGATCTCCGGTAACTGATTGACAATATTTCTAGTTCGCGCGCGCGGGGCGGCCCCTGGGGGTCCCCCGGCGAAAAGTATCCCGACCGCAGCCCCACCAGGTGCACTCAGAGATGGTTTTGAGGGCCTTTTTTCGACACCCCTCACGAGGATCGTGGCCTCCGAGGGGGGTGCACTCGACTACCCCGCCCCAAAGGGCCCCCAAGAGCCCCCCAAGGGGCCCAAGGGGGCCCCAAGACGCCGCCAAGGAGCCCCAAGATCCCCAAGAGGCCCCCAAGAGGCCCCTAGGAGGCCCCAAAGAGGCCCCCAAGAAGCTTCAAAGAGGCCCCATAGAGCGCTCGAGAGCCGGCGGAATGAGCGAAGCGATTCAATAATTTGCTTCAGCATCAGCATCGGAATTTGGGGGTCTGGGGTGCCGACGCGGCGAAGGAAAACATTGCTTCAAGCTTCGCGGGAGATGTCGTCATCACACCTTTCTTGGCTGTCCCCGAAGGCAAGATGACTACCCACGTCGCCAGGGAAGAGCTCCGCCGCCACGCACTCGGGCTCGCCCTCCGGCTCGCCACACACCGCGCGGCTCTCCACCGTCGCCCCGCCAGCGAGCACCACGGTGCAGATGACGTGGCCCCCGTGCTGCAGGTCGTCGTGGTGGTGCGTGAGGCCGCAGCCCTGGGACAGCTCCATGGCCTCCGCGGCTCGCAGGAGCGAAGCCCCCGCTTCCTCCCGCAAAGGCCTCCTTAATTGGGCCCTTCTAGATGGGGTCGGAGGACCGCAACGCATCGGCGATGCATCGCCGATGCATCCGCGACGTGGGCGATGCGTCGCCGCAGTCGGCGCCGTCGGCGCGGCGGCCGCAGCCCTGGGACAGCTCCATGGCCTCCGCGGCTCGCGTCACCCCCCCTCAAAAGTATCGTCCCCATAAAGGGGCTCCACCTACGACCCCGGAGACAAGATTCGCATAGCCGCACACCCCTCACGCTGCCCCGGGGGGAACTGCATTTACGGCACAAGGGGGAAGCTTTGCACACCTCTCACAAGGATCTTGCTCCACAGGGAGTTCCGCCGACGGCCCCAGAGACAAGGTTCGCATCCCGCCCCTCATCGCGTCGTGGGAAATCACGACGGGCTGGGTGGTTTTGTCTTGCAGCCTCGAGGGTCCCTCACCAGGCCTCGGGGCCGCCAAAACACAACCTTGGATGAAAAACGGGTCCTGAGTGGCGAAGGCGCGGCGTACCTGCATACGTTGTGCAAAAAGTCCCGCGCGAAAGCGCGATTTGGGAACAACTTGTGAGGAAGCATCACGCGGGAACCACGGTTGTTTTAAACCAGGGGCCTACAACACAGCTTGGCGACACCACACTTTCCCCGATAAGAAAAAGAATGCGAACCCCGAGGGGGCACTTCAATAGAAAGATAGAATGGCCACCGGAGGGAGGAACAACAATACTTGTTCCTTAGAAATGATATCCAACAACCTTAACAACAGCAGCAGCAACAATAACACCAATACCAATACCAACACCAACGACAACGACAACAACAACAACAACAACAACAACAACAACAACAACAACAACAACAACAACAACAACAACAACAACAACAGCAACAGCAACAACAACACCAACACCAACACCAACACCAACACCAACAATGCCACCACCACCACCACCAACAACAACAACAGCAACGCAGCAACACTCCGCACCGCGGAACCCGAGTTCAGCCACGCACCCAGGGACTCTGAATGACCGTTCGGCCCCCTCAGTGGGTGGCCGAACGGTCATTCACTGTCTAGTCAAGGAGGCGCGCGAGGAAAAATCAGATGCCACTCTGATTTTTTCTCGCACGTCTCCTCGTCACCTCCACCGAAATGCTGAATTTGGCTTTCCGCCCTCCCCGGCCTGCGCGAGGGCAGCCTTGCGTCATCGCGGGACAGCCAGCCACGGCCTCGCCAGAAGATTCATCGTCCTCGTCCAAAGAATCTTCTGGTTCAAAATCTGGGTCATCACCGGAATCGCCTCCGCCGTCGCCAAGCGGGCTTGAGCTCTTCTCCTTCATGGCGGGGGCAGCGTGTCCAGAGGCGCGGACGCACCGCCGCAGTCGTCATCGCCGCCTCGGGGCTTTCGTGGGTCAGGAGGAGTGTAGCCTTGGAACCTCGTGACAGGCGCTATCTCCGCGTCGATATAATATTGTTCTTTCTTTCTGCGACGCTCGTCATCCTCCCTCGCCGTCTCCTCTTTTTTCATTCCCTGTTTCCTTTGGCACTTGGCAAATCGTGCGGCCTCAGACCGTTCCTCAGCGCGCCGTTCTCTTCTCTGCACGCAGGCTGCAGCGCGGCGTCCCATGTTTCTTTCGGCTTCGCGGAGCATTGAAGTCGTCCTCTTGCGGTCGGCCATGGCGCTGTCCTCAAACGCCCTGAGGCGTCGAGCGACCTCATTCTCTGCCCCCTGCTCCGAGGAGGCCGCGGCGTCACCGCGCGGCTTCCTCTCGGCGGGTCGGCGGTCGAACGGCCCTGCGCCTGGTTAGGTTTGAGCGGCAGCGCGCTCTTCCATCTCCATCCTCATCTTGCGCTCAGTCTCCTCTTCCTCCTTTCCCCTTGCTTCCGCTTCCCCGCGGACGGGCGCGGCGAGGCAAATTGCGCGCCGATTATCATCCTGATCGAAGCGGCCCCCGCAATGCGCGCTCGCGCAGCACCGACACGCGCGAACCGCGCTCGTTGAACAGAGAAAACACCGCAATAAACCAGCGCCTACTGCGAAGCGAACAGGCGGGCGCGCTACTTCGCGAGAGCCTGAAGCTCCGCATGGCGCTCAACATGCGCATCCGACTTTTTCTCCGGTGCATTCTCTCCCAATTCGTTTTGGACGCGTTGCCCCGACAGTTCACGACGCCGCGCGCGGCGCCGACGCGCGCGAACCACATTCCTTGAACAGAGGAAACACTACAATGAACCAGCGCCGACTGCGAAGCGAGCGGGCGCGCTACTTCGCGAGAGCCTAGAGTTCCGCTCGGTGCTTTGACAGGCACGTCCGGCTTTTTCAGCGCATTCTCTCACAGTCGTTTTGGATATGTTGTTCCGACAGTTCACGACGCTGCGCCTCGCGTCGCGCTTCCCATTGCTTGAGCGTCTGCGTCGCAGCCGTTTCCATGCTGCGAGGCACGGCGCCCACTTTGGCATCGGCATCTTGTTCCACCATCTGAGTTCCTAGCGAAACCCCTCTGGCCTCGGCAATCGCGCGGATGCGGCAGTTGATCCCAAGGCGATGGTATAGCCCCGCTGTCGAGAGTCATTGGCTTCGCCTCGGGCTCGACGAGCAAAGCTGCACTCGCGTCCGCGGCGCGCTTTGCCGCGGCGATAGCGGCCTTCTTTCCGGCGGCCGCCCCCTGAGTCTCAGCGTCGGCTTCCGACGTCAATTCTGCGTTGCGTGCCGCGGCAACCTTGAGCTCAGCAGCAAGTTGGCCTTCCGCCGTCGATCGACTGCGACTGGCCCCCAGACAGCGAGCGCGATTTTCTCAGCAACATCCTCCGCAGAGGCGCGCGCCTGTTTCTCGGCCGCCCCAGTTGCCTTGAGTCGGCACGCCACGCCTTCCATCTCAACATTGACTCATTCAATTCTTCCGGCCATGGCAAAGCGCAAGCGTTTCTCAGATTGTCCCAGTGCCCGAGTCGCAGCCTGGCAATCTTCCTCGATTTGCAGCCTGGCCGCCGCCCTCTGCTGAAGTTCCGCAGTCCTGACCTGTTCCAGCACGCGCGCCATTTCCCTTTCTCGATCTTCCATCATGCATGCGCGCGTCTTTTCCCGCCCCCCCCCCCAATTCTCGGCGACGGAGGGCCGCGCAATTATGCGCGCTGGGAATCAGGCAACCGGGGCGCAGAAAGCTCGAGTAGCATTGGGACAGCCCGCTGAGCACGCCGAGCAAACGGGCCTTCTGCACTTGCCAAGCGCCGCCCGACATCTGAACTCCTGGACGTCGGCACAGCCGACCCCTTCGCGAAAGCATTCGTCGTGCATTCGGTCGCTTGAGTTATTCGAGCGAGCCGCGCGCGCCGAGCGCGATGGCGCTCCCGACGTCGCTCGGGGCTCTCGCCACCTCGCTGACGCTCCAGGTCGGATCCTCGGCGAACGGGTCCTCAAGATGGCAGCCCCGGTCGGGCTTGCCTCTACGTAAGCGCCCCGAGCATCTCGTCCCGGTTCCCTCCGGCGAAGAAAGCGTTGCGCGAGTTGTGTCTCGCTCTGCGGCTATCTCTGAACCTGGAGCGCACGACTCTTCTGGCGGGCTCACTTTTCTCGATCGTTTGATCAGTGGCGAACTTGACAGAGTCACATCGTCTCTGGGTTGTTTCACCGTCGGCGTCCTCGGAATGTCCCCAAATAACACATCATCGTCGGGATCTTCAGTAGCGCCGAGTTCCGAACTGGACGGGGTTCCACGGTTATGACGGAACGGCCCGATCGAACCATCATGTCGACGACGACCTTCGTCGAGCGTCTCGCGGTTAGCAGCAGGTGTCAACGAAGAAGGGTCTGACTCGTCGTCCTCCGATGATATATCGATGAGTGGAATACATGTGCGTTTGTTAGGACCATCCTCCAGCCTAAGCGTATCTTGTCGCACCGGAGAACTTGACCTTGAGACAGGAGCGTCGATGCTCGTACTCTGCAATGAGCGTGGTGTCGGATGCCTGAGATCGTCAGGACCTTGGAAGACGACTTCTGCCGCTTCTTTATAGCAATGTGGATGTTCAGGCGCACCAAAAACATCACCATCAGTTCCTGAAGGGAGTGCCTCCTGGCCTCGTGGAAGAACTTTCGGCTGATAACCAATGCTTTGCCCATCTAACGTCATGTTATACATACGTGTCTTAAAATTGTTGAGTTGTTCTGCTTGTTGATATATTTCTTCTCGTAGCTCACGAGAAGCTAACCTCCCACAACGAACTGGTGAGTACATGGCTGCGTCAATACGTTAAGCGGAGCTACTCTAAGCAAAGGTGCAGTATGTGCTTGTATGCGCGAGCGTGGCCCGCCCGCCTGGCCTGCTGGCGCGCGTTTTTGCTCGAGAAAATGTACACAACTACGGAGAAAGTCCCTCCGCATGATCCATGCCCTACCAACACTCTGCAAGGGAAAAGAATGGAGGGCAGCAGAAATGGGCAAAGGGAGTGTTGGTAATGACTCTAAGACCACCTCAAAATGACCGACGACGGCGACGACGACCCCACGTGCTTCGCCGTTTCTCGCAGCCCCCTTTGCCTCCACACGTAGCTTGCGCTTCGGCCCCATACGCCCGTTTGTCCCTCCCCCCTCGCCTCGCACACAGTGCGCTACACCAAGACTTTAAAGCGAAGCGCAGCGAGCTTCAAGTCTTGTGATTGTACAATTATATTGACATATACGTGCATAACATCGGCCCGTATCCAGCGAATATTTCAAGGGGAACCTTTAAAAACATGATTCCTCGGCGGCGAATTCATGACACTAGAACTATCGCGCGCGCGCTTCGCGCGCGCTCAAGTTCTAGCCCAGGCCAGGGGGGCGCTGAAGATCTTGGACAACGCTATCAAGCACAGGCGCGTGACATAGTCGTGCCTCCTGAGGGCCTCTTGGGGACCTCTTGGGTCTTCGTCGTCGTGGGGGCATCTGAAGGGTTTCTGAGGGCTTCTCCATGCTTCCTCAATTTTC